ATAACTCTTCTATTTTTATTCTACATAACTTTTTGCCTGTACTACAATGACAACATGAATATTTTTGGCTTTTTAAATCGGGTCATGTTTAAATGAACCAGTAGCACCCTTTTGAGGTACACCAAATATGTTTGGGTGCCAGCAAACCTTTTGAAATTTGTTTTTATTTGCTGACTTTGACAAATAAAGTGCATGATAAGAACTTATCAAATGTCCGTTTGAACATTACTAGGTTGAGGTTTACTTGTGAAAACCTCACAGTTGAGCCCCGCTCTTTCTAGGAGGCATTCTCTCTTCCTCTTAAGTGGCTGTGCTCGCTGATGGCTCCATGCTGAATAGCGGCTTTTCCTTTCAATAGTTTCCTTCCGAAAAATTCTCCGATTGGTTTCTTTTTATGATTATTTATTATATTATAATTTATAACTAAAACGAAGCGTTGAACGCGACCAACCTCATTTTCATTCCTTTCATTTCATCAGAACGTAAGCTAGCCTAACCTTGTGTTTCTCATTTATACTCCTTTTTTCATCCTCTTTGACAATAAGGCTACTGAAAAACGTTTTTTAAATTGTAGTTGATAATAAAAATAGTAGGCAATAATGGTAGTAGTTTTGTTCAGCTCTCAAAAATTGCTGTGACGTTGCTCCATATTCATAAGGAGTTTAATATCAATTGTTTTGAGTAGAGTGAGTTTAAAGCTTCTCATGACACGTTTTACAATATTACCTCGCCGTAGCACTTTGAAGTAGTTTGAAAAAAACGTCGCCTTCATGTGGTAGAACATAGGGTGCCGGAACTTCTCCCTGAATTCCCACGACAAGCAGTAAAGGTTCCGCGGCGGAAATTCAAACCTTCCCCTACAGCGCGCGACTGCGCGCGATCGGGTGCGGCGAACGCGACGCCGTTTTCGGGGAGAAGATACCGGACCAACAGAACATACATACCCTAACGAGGTGAAAGTTGCAAATCTCATATTACCTCCAAAAATGAGCCAGCAATCAGGCAACGATCTTGACTTCTTTTCACTTTTACATTTTGAAGGAACAGGAAGGAACCATCAGTTCTTAAGTTGACTATGACACACCCTTGGGTGTATTGAATAAATAAATAAATTTATGATTTTTGTTCCGCTCGATTCGTCAGAGTTACAGAAGATCACCTTGTAGCTTATGACAAATAAAACTCTTGAGAATAACTTCCAATTACATTTTATTGTGTGCTTTCTGTTTTCGTGGCTGTAAACTGTGACTTCCCCTACCGTGCCTAGGCACTTAGGTGGACAATTTCCTGCTAGGTTTTGAGAAACCGATACCGTGTTTCACGGGTTTGCCTCTGACCTTGCGTTATTTTGGGCCCAATGTATTTATCTCTCATCGGCCCAACTCTTGAGAAGTCCTATTTTTGAGATTTATCGGAATTTTTTTCTGTTGCTCTGGGGGTTGCTTTCCAGTATATCCATTGTATGAGCTTTATAATTGTATCTAACGTTCAGGCACATCTCCTACCGTGAACATGACTGCAGAGGAATGTNGCGTTATTTTGGGCCCAATGTATTTATCTCTCATCGGCCCAACTCTTGAGAAGTCCTATTTTTGAGATTTATCGGAATTTTTTCTGTTGCTCTGCGGTTGCTTTCCAGTATATCCATTGTATGAGCTTTATAATTGTATCTAACGTTCAGGCACATCTCCTACCGTGAACATGACTGCAGAGGAATGTACTTGTACAGCAGAGAAAGTGCTACAGTTTTTACAGGAGATGGCTGAAGTAAGTTGAAAGTCTTAGCTCCCTACTTATTCCCATTATACAGTTAGCAGCTCATTTTCAAGGTTGGTACAGGTTCAATTTTTTCGTTTTCTATGTTTTTTTCCTTTATATGTTTTTGTTAACAACTATAATTTTGTTTTTATTTACAGAAATGCGGGGTAACGGACCTGACTGACCCGGCATTGGCAAAGTTCCTCACTGAAAATGATGCTTTAAATAGGATTAGGGACGAATTCCACTATCCAAAATGTGGGACCTTGCCAGAAGGTAATATGTTTTTAACTATTTACTTACTAGTTCATGTGCTGCCAATTTATTCAGACTATTAGGTCCCTTAGTGCATTTTTCTGTAGCAGAGAGACAGGATAACCCACAAAAACCTGGGGAAGGGTGTGGTGCAGTAGGAACGAAGTTGTCGCGTGCTGGGAGAGAAACGCCGCGCGCGAAGGAATGTAATAATAGAATAATAATGAAAAATGGAATGTAAAAATAAATAATGGAATATAATAATCGCATAGCGATTGAGCTATATGAAGAATGCTAGAACCGTTATAACGAGGCAAATGGTCCGCGACAGCCGCGCGCGGCGGATCGATTACACAAAACCGTTCCTACTGCCTGTCTCCTCCTAAGGAATAACATAATCCACTACCAACTACGTTAAAAAGTTGATGTGACTATAAATTTTGAAATCCGGATGAAAAGGCTACTTTCAGCTGATCCCAGTTTATGCGATCCAGAATCTGATTCCATCTATCTCTGCGGTAATTCGTTGGGACTGATGCCTAAGGCAACTGAGAGAATCATGATGGAGCAGCTTGACAAATGGGCAAAAATGTAAGTGCTGATGTAATTTGAAGATGTCTTGAGTTATACCAGTTTTTGATTGTTTTTTCCACCCAGAAATAATAAACATCGTTGCAGGGGCGTGTTTGGCCACAGAAGCGGTGAACTGCCATGGGCTTTCTGTGATGAACACGCTATCGAGGGTGTAGCACATCTGGTTGGAGCAAAACCTGAAGAAATAGCTCTCTGCAATGGCCTTACTGTTAATATTCACGTGCTACTGGTAAGTAGCGTTCTCAGAAAGGTTACCTGTGCTTGGTAAGGTAAAATACAATTTAGAAGCTCAGAGCGACCTATTTGTTTGATTCACTTTAGCACCAAAATTTTGATGGGTACACTACTGCTACTTAAAGGCCATTGAGTGAGGGAGCAAACTAGCAGTACTGTACCCCTTCAGGAGATGTTTTGATTTGTGGAAGGGGAAGTGAGCCAGGGCTTACATGTAGAAGAGTCAGAATCGTTACTCAGACAATAAAACAAAACAAAAACCGTGTTGTGTATCTCATTAGTATGTTTATCAATTATTGTTATGTTCTATCACTCACTATTTGCCATTATGATTATTATTATTATTATTATTATTATTATAACTCACATGCTATTTAACAATTGACCCTTTCAGACAGCTTTTTACAAGCCAACTGATACACGCCACAAAATCCTATTGGAGTCGAAAGCGTTTCCCTCTGACCACTATGCAATAGAGTCACAGATCAGACTTCACGGTCGCACAGTGGAGGAAAGCATGGTGAGTATTCCAGTAAGATAAAAGGCGCCAATCGATACCGACCAATTGAATGGATTGTGAATGGGCAGGAAAGCGAGGGGTCAGCTCAATTGATACTACTTCGATGCCCATTGTTTTGATATTTCTTTCACACGTTCCTTAAGGGCATGTATAAGTTAAATTAAAAAATCCTGAGGTGGTCATAGACATGGTATTTACGGAACTTCCCCCTTCTGTCTTCCAACAATAGCACTGTAACCGGAATGGCAGTGGCGAATAGGGCAGAATAGTCTATTCGTGAAACCGAAATGATCGGAATGTGATTGCTTCACGTGCACGTTCGGTTTGTCGCGTGATAAGAAAAAAGATTCGATCATTTCCACAGAATGTCTTAGAATACAGCTCCATATAGTAACCGGATTGAACTGTGTTTCT